CTGTAGCTGGGTGAAGTGTGCGAGTTACATGACCTACACGCACTCGTACCCTACGAGAAAAAGAGCTTTTACATAGCTGGCCCTCCGACGCATTTGTTCAGACCAGACGTTCATGATTTAATGAACTCAAAAGTAACGTGATATTGATTGACGTCGCTATCAACGCTGATTAATTTTGCATCTCTAAGTAATAGCTTGCTCTAAGCAGCTGAAAAATTCGTGCTCGACAAAGTTTGCATGAAAAGCGTCTGCAGGACGAGTGTTTAACTAGGCCTTGAATGGTCGTCCATTTCGATGAGCGATCGGACGCAGAAAATTTTAAACAGCGCTCATTTACCTCTGACAACTTATATTGAATAGGACATGTAGAAGGTCTACAAACTACTCGATACCACATACGTTTGGCAAACTCGATGCAGCTACACATGCACCCATTCAGACGCAGATGCACCAATGCGCGCACTCGCACACAAACGCGTCGATAGCAATGACTTCTCTCTTTCGTTCCCACTCGAACTTTTCCACTATAGGGCTGGATCGTGCGTGAAATTGTTCGGAGGTTTTTTTAGTAACTGGGCTCAGCGCCAATAACACCATTTCGTCGCTTCTTTTTTCCCTCCTCCTCAACCAGAGCTAAAAGTGTGTTGTTCGCCTTTCTTATACTCTGCAAACTTTTCCGTTTTTCTATCTATACGTACAAACGCATATAATACCCCCCAACCTCCTCTCTCTCTCTCTCTCTCTCTCTCTCTTTCTAAACCCAAAACTTCTCTCTTCTTCCTCTTATCAGCCACTATATACGTGAGATCGTTCTATTAAAATTCCGAACTCGTGCGCGGATCGAGCTTCGTGGCAATTTATTGCAACGTTTTTTTTGTGCCACTCCACTGCCGATGCTGGGTGAGCCGACTCATTTTTAATTCAGTTTTACCATGAACAATTAATGCGTCATACAATTTCGTTGCTATCTGAAACAAAAAATAAATAAGCAATTATCGAACATGACCCTGAGATAAGAGGAAAAAAAGCTATTAGTCTTCGTCAAAGTGACAACTAGAACTTGCGATAAAAATAATATAAGAAAGTAACGCATATAAATGTAGAGCCTCTGAAAAGATGAAAAAAGAGAGGGAGAGAGAGAGAGAGAGAGAATGAGCAAGCAGCGACGAATTAATTAGCGTGAATTTTACTCTGTCTCTCTCATGTAATTGGCAAGTTACAAAAGTTCTTTCAACGCTCTATCTAGCTGGGCTTTTGCAGCAACATGCGCAATTCGAGAAAGTTTTTAATTACACTTATGGAAGAAATAAAACTAAACGAAGAAATTTTGTTTAAAAAAATCTTTGCAGCTTCACCGTGAGGCAACCATTTGAGATTTTTGTGAATTACAAGAAAATTCATGAAATTTACGTACCTATCTAAACGTAAGAAGCAAGTAAATGATACAGTTTTTAAAAATTATACTTTATCCTCGCGTTGAGGAAGCTTTGTGATGGATTTCAAAGTGAATCTTCTAAAGGGAACCTAACACCTCCAAATTAAAGGACGTTGGGGACGCAACCGAGTTCAAATCAGCAACTATCAAGAAACAGCGGAAGGTAGATACTTGATTTGACTAGGTAGGTCGGTGGTATCATAGGCTCTCAGCCAATACACATGCTATCACGCGTATTTTTGTCTGCTGCTAACCTTTCAAGTTAAATTCAATGTAGAGCAAACAAAAAATTTTTTCATTTTTATAAAATTACTTTGAAATATGCTCGTGAATATACAATATAACCGATACCATTTGAAAGGTAATGATTTCATTTTTCATTATGCTAAATTTGGTCACGATCTCCCATTTTGACCTAAAGTTACACTTAAAAATTGTATGAGAAATCTGAGCTTTCCTACACTGAGAAAAAAAAATTCATTGATTCAATGAAAATTTAATTAAATACAATCTATCATCAACAAAATATTTAGTTGTTTTTACCAAAATTTCATGAAACTAAAGAAAAAAAGATTAATTCAATGAAATTTTTTCATAGATTGTATTTAATTAAATTTTCATTGATTCAATGAATTTTTTTCTCAGTATATGATTTCCACGTTAAAAAGTGTACTTTGAAATAAATTATACAAAAATTCATTCGACAATCGATGCTAAAATTTCGGGAAAACATTATGAGTGTTCATCAACTATCAAATTCCGAAGTTTCAACTTCGTGGCCCAGCTTGACCCAAAGGTGCCTAACGTCCTTAAAAAAATGGAGAAACATCAGTTTGCGCGAGCTTCGGTGCTAAATTTTTATTGTTTTTTGGGAGCTTAGATTGGGCCGATTTTTCATTTATCGGCGTAATGTTAGTCCTTCTCTCTTCCTCTCCCTTTCTCTCTCTTTCTCTCTCTGTCTCCTTATTCATATAACTCGGAAAAGGGGGCATAAACGAGAACTTAGCACAGGACTATAAAATGTACGATTCTTGGACCACAGGGGGCACTTTTCTGCACGGCTATTAGGACCGTCGATGCACTCGGGCCCTAAACCACGCTGTGCCGTAAAGTCATACTTGTGACACTGTATCGTAAAATACTATTTTTTCATACTGTTACATAAATTATTATTTATACTTATATTTGGAATGCAAGGATCTTCGATTACGGTTCGCAAAGAGGCATTCACAGGCAAGGACCTCGTCGATATTGGTACTACGGCTTTCAAGTTCGTCGACCAAGTAAATAAAATCTCTTGGAAACTTGTAGGGTACTTATTTTCCAAGCGTAATTTATTAAATATGTCTAGAATTAGTAATTTGATTTTTTTCGGATATTTTACGATCAATTTTTCCATACAATGAAATTTTACTTTTTCGATTTTTTCGGTTCGAAGTTAAAATGAATTCTTAAAAATTAAATGCTTCAATCTATGAATGCTAAATTTCATAAATTCTATAGGATTTCTAAATGATTATGAAAGATCAAAGAGTACTCTACACAAATGTTGTGAGACCATAGCCTATTTATAAGTCAAAAGTGTTGTCAGATAAAAAATGATGAAGAAAAAAAGTAGATAGAGAAATATTTAGCTATTAGCTCCATTTGCATTTAAGGCAAGAGGGTAACTGAAAAACTAATTAATTACTTTTACTGCGCATGAGTCCACTTGCCTTTTTCTGGTGTGCACAACTGTTTCCATCTAACATACTCATATACATTATACATATCATGTATGTGTACCGCACAGTGATTCTTCTAGCTCCAAAATAAGAGATTGACGACAAAAAGACTTGAAAACGAAATAAAGAGAAGAGAGAGGGTGATTTTTTAGTTGGCTTCGTCAAAAAAGTTACAAAACATTTGAATTATTGAAATGTTGAATTCATTGTTTTATTATTCGATTTGAATACACATGATTTTATGAATGAAATGGAGGACGATTCATCGAATTCCAAAATTGGTACGAAATGCTGTTTTCGCGTAAAACAATACGAATAGAAACGAGTGTTAACTTTTAGCCACGAATGTATAAAGTATAAAAATAGAAAGATGTAAAATGCAAAGGTGTTGAGTGTGACGCAGAAGATACTGAAGAATTCCATGCAGCAATACGCTCGATAAAGATTGCATGTGAATTCGCCGATTTGGTAGAGTTGAACAAGCTTGGCCCTCGGATGCAGGCGCGTTTAAGATTAAAACTCTTTCCATCAACTGCAGCGAGGAATTTGCGTTAGAATTTCATTAGAGCAGTGAACAGTTCTTGGTCGTGCACGTGAAGCCAGAAAATGTTCGCACAGCCGTTGCTCATCGTCGTGGTCAGACGATTATCGGTATAATAATTAAATCTTTCTTGCGATGTATTGATTTTTTATAGATATGTAGTTATATTTTTATATTAATTAAATAATTATAAATAGAAGATATTTTTTCTCTGCTGCGAGTTATGCTCATTAAAAAAGATTTTATTCCTTTATAACGGTGGAGGCAGTTTTTATTATAAAGGAAAAATTACGAACGTAAAATAACAAGAAGTTAAGAAGGCAGTACGAAAGAAATTTTTCATCAGCGTCGTCATATTGATTGCGTAACTAAGTTAATGCATAGCTCTTGTTATATAAACGCAAAGAACTTGATGAAAATTTTAATTAATCTTCTTCCGCTTCTAAGATATTTTTTACCCCATCATCAATGCATGAGCAAAATTAATGAGAAGGACAAAGAAAATTGAAAAATTTAATTTCCAAACAATCGATTCAATGTGAGTATGTAAGTATTTTATATATGTTTATCCGATTCTCATGGAATCGAATGTCAAAAAGATTTTTCGGTGTCACCCCAACCTAAGGTAACATTTTGTTTCCAACGATCGAAATTTAACTATTACTTTAGATTGAGGAAATCACAGAAATAGTACATTTTGCATCTAGATAGTGAAAAAATAGAAAGTCTCAGAGCACGTGTAATTTATTAGCCGAGGCGAAGATGAGCCTTTATTTTTTCACAACATAAGTGTAAATACAGTTTTTTGTGAATCCCCCCAGCTGAAAGTAATATTTTGATTTTGCTCGTCGGCAAATTGTTACTTTAGGTTGGTCACGAAAAGTGTATTTGCTCTTAAAAAGTGAGAAAAGAAAGTCTTAGAGCACCTGAATATAAGAAATCATTGAGACATTCAGTACTTCACTCTCTATTTGCAAAGCATACTATTTTTCTGTCGTTAAGAAAAATCTCTTGATTTCGATAAAATACGCACCCCAAATTTTATTAGAATTTTAAAGACCATTTATCACCCTTTTTCAAAAACAGAAAATTGATAATTTTCCAGAATTTATGATTATTGCTAATATTTAAAAAATCCTAGTTATTTGAAAAATTTAGTGCTGGTTGATTGTGGAAAAGGTGTAACAGAGAGTTTTGACAAAAAACTGTACAAATTTACAGAAAAAAATACACCAAAAGATCCATTTAATAGATTTTTATTATGCAGAGAAAATTAAAGTTTAAATAAGTTTAATCCGGATTTTATCACTAAAAAAAATCACATGCCTTACTTTCAATACCAACAGATACCTTCTAAATTTTTCTAATGAGCTTTTCAATTGAACGTATATGTTTCTTCCTAGAAAAGTTTTAAATCTCTAAGAAGTGACAAATAGTTCCGAAAATATTTATTAAATTCGGAAATATTAACGATATATCTATGAACATATTTGTCTAAAAGATTCAATCGAGTTTGTAAACTTGTTCGCGGTATTCGGCATAATTTGTAGCATTACAAGCCACATCCGTGACTCGTTTTATGATACTTTCAGTGTATTTCGTTTTTTTTGCACCATCATAAACGGGCTGCCATATCTTTAGAATTACAATTTTCTTCTTTTTCGCTTCTTTGGTAATTTGGTAAGGATCGCTTATCCAACTAGGATATCGATTGAAACAACCAGATTTGGGGCCCTTTGGAGCCTGCGGAAAAGTCAAGTAGAAGCGTCGAGACTTGGGAATTTTTGCGGCAAATTTTCCGACTCGTTTTGGTTGATCTGGTATTAAAACGACTGGCTCCAATGGTTTGAATGGATTTTCGTCGAAGTATGTTGACGGAGGAATAGTTGTTTTGTAGCGATCTTTCACTTGTACTGCACTAGCTATAATTCAAGAAAAAGCATAAAGAACATGAATTATTTTTTTTTTAATCAAATTTTTACTTTATACCTTTAGATCTCTTGATTTCGGGTTCATATGGTTCATAATCACCATATATTGGAAGATAAGGATTGATGCATATGTCCTTATATCCAGGTCCACCTACTTTGCTAGGATTGGTACTGAAGTTAGGTGGCATTTTTGGTGGCTTGGACTGTTCTATTGTTTCAGGACTAAAAGCCTTAGGTTGTTTGCCAATGCAACCAAACCAATCACCTGGAGTAGCATTTTTTTTTGGGAATGGGGGTCGTATCAAAATGCCCTGTGAATTTTTAAATGTTTCAAGTAATCATGTTTATAATTTCTAACGTAAAAATGTTCAATAATCATTTGTATAACTTTATTGTAAAAGAAGGTTTGCACGTGCTATATTCTTGTTTACCCGCCTCAGATTTAAAATAAGAAAAAAGGAGAAAATTCCCGCTTGTTCGTAGTGTGTATAATCACCTTGGATTCTTTCTTCTTTTTTTTCTGATTTTTTTCTTCGTCAGCCAACGCTTCGCCTTGAAATATTCGTTTGAAGCCTTTCTCAAATAGGCGTCCATGCATCTCGCTGAACATCTGCGGTCCTTTGGCAAAATTTGTACGTAAACTTCCATTGACTGGGTCATCGTAACTACCAAACGGACCCGGTCCTTGCGTCGCGTCATCAAAGAAACCTTGATAGTTGCGCCAAAAGAGCAGAAAGAAAAAGAAGATGCATTAAAATAAAATCTTTCAGTAGGGGTTGCGGCTCAAGAGGCTAAACTTTGTCTTTTTTTGCGATTTTGCGTGTTTGAGTCTTCAAGAAAAGGAAACGAAGAAGAGGGAAAGATACCTTTGATTGGAGCAATAAGAAAAATAAACTCTCAAGTCTAAGTGGCCCGTTTTTACCTAAGTTTTCAAAGCAAAGCAAACAGAAGGAGAAAAGTAAACGAAAGTCTCAGTGATTCTTTAAAATCTTTTTCGGTTCGGGCATTCAAAAGTTTATTTACAAAATGATAAAAATTAACATCATATTATGATTGATTGTAAACCGAGGTTAGCGAAGAATATTATATACCGATTCTTACCTGTTCGATCGAGATCAAGTTTGCCGAAGTGTTGTCCTATGACGTATGTAGTTTCATCGGTTTCAGACATACTGCACTATTACTAATTGACTTTTATCAGTGGTAAAAAGTTTTCATTGTTGCACCAGCAAGAACTAAGAATTTAACAATTTTACGTTTAACCTAACCATAATAATTAGCAGACAACATCATTGCGGTGAGTGAATTATGCGTCGTTAGTTTGCTAGCTATATCCTAACTAATTTTATGAATTTTACTCAATTGAATAAGAATTTTTAGCGATTAGGAATAATTTGATTGACCAAACTGACTTTGGAAATGAAATAATTACTTTGTAATTGAAATGAATGTGCAGAATTAGCATAAAGCAAGCAAAGATATGCAGACAAATTTTGCACGAAACAATACGTTAGTCAATATGTTTAAATGACAGACTAAAGGTACAAAATGGTTGCTTATGTAATTGAGCATTTGGTAAAAAGAAAAGAACATGCTGTAAATGTGCACATATGTATGTGAGTTGTGGGAGTAAATGTTCCGATCGATTGAATTAAACTGTGCGTGCGAGAGAGAGAGAGAGAGAGAGGGAGAGAGAGAGAGTAGCTGCAAGCACGCAAATGGCCATAGGTGCTCTCTATCTAGACATGCAGTACAGACCTGCACACGCTCATGTATAGCAGGCGGGCATGTTGTGACGACCAAATAATTGACTTGCCTCGCTCCCCGCTGCCGTCTACTCAGTCCTTTTGCGCAGACACACACGCATGCACGCATGCATCCACGCACACGTTTACACATACACGGGAGGTTTGAACGAGCACTTTAGTTGCAAATGACCTCTGCGCGCGCGAGTACCACTTCTATCCGGCGACGACTGCAACGTTACGATCGCCTCCGTGTATAATATATATATATATAGTAAGATATATATATAAATATATATATGTATGTATGTGAGGCTGCGCGTGTTGGGCGAGACTATGTCTGAGTATTATACTATGTGAGCAAGTCCCACAGCCCAGGACTTGAGTACTATGTCTTTGTCATTTTCTAATTAAAAGCCGCTTCTAATAGAAGTGAATAAATCGTTCATTTAATTAGGATCTTTGATGCGATTAAATCATTAATGGAGTGCTCGATGGAGCCAATAAACCGTAAAAAACGCATAGCTCGTTTTCTGTAGCTTCTCGTTGACAGTTGCGCCTATTCATATGCATGTACTTTAGGGCGCAATATAAGATCGCTAGAGTCTAATAGATGATAATGTTTATTTTGGCCTTCGGCTACGAGCTCGTGTACATCGGCGCTTTGGATGCGCAGAAAGGGATATGCTCGTGAATGCTTGGACCTGTGTGCGCGAGCTTGAGGCCGTATGTAGGGGGATGCTTGGACACAGAACATCCATTATTACCCATCGGCAAACTTGGAGGATACGTGTGCTTCCACGTCACCGACCAGTGCAGTGCAAATAGGAGCTGCGAATCTTTGAATGTACGCGCCACGGCTGGCTAGCTAGTTCAAGTGACCATATGCGTGCACGGATTTCTCGAGAAATTCGATATAAAGAAAGGTCAGTTAAGTATTCTGCATTAAACTCGTGCTTGTCCTCTCTGCGAAGAGATTAATTGACTAGTGGATCAAGTATTTACACTTTTATCAAACGCGCAATGCACTGATGATATCACAACACTTTCTCGCGTTTACTCTCATCGGCGTCACTGTAAAAACTGTCAATCCTGTAACAAACTTGGCAAACTTTCAATTATTAATGGGCAATGCACCAAAATAAAGAGAAAATGTTTACATTTCTCTTCGTGTATACACGATATATCGATAGTTACAGAATGCAAAAAAAAACCTCAATGGTTCAGTGGTGAACTTGCATTCTCGCCTCGCTGAGTCGGCGTGATTTAATCGAGTTTCATTTTAGTAGACATGTGAGTTTGGGGATTAATAATATAAATTCTCCGAGCTAAACCGAGAGGTAAAGAGAGGGAATCAATTTAATCGAGAGAGAGAGAGATAGAGAGCACACCTTCACAGCCACAACCATGGTATCGATAATTTTAACATTTTGTGATTTTTATTATTCAAATTTAGTGCCTATCCAAGTGCTTTGTATCATTCAATTGATGTGCCGTAGCTGTTCGAGCTTGACAATCTTTTAACGACTGACTTTTACACTCTAAGCTGTCAAAGTTAACCTTCACCGGACCGGTACTTGATCAAAAATACGTTTTTCAATATAAAAGTCAACTAAGGTCTGTAACATTCAACCAAACTAATGTCAAATGTTTTGAGGTCAATGACTTACACTATACACTTGCTGGATTTACGGCTTTATTTATCTTAATTATTTTGACAGATTTTTCTCTCAAGAATGGGAGTTATCGAAATGTACTTAAATGAACACATGAAAAATGTTTAATTAAGTCAAACTTTAAAAAAATTTAAATCTAATAATATGTATAATATCCACCATAGAATTATTAATGTACGAATAGCTTAACTATCATTCGTGTACTATGAAGAAAAAACATGTTCAATAAAATTGTTTGCTGAGTAAAAACTCAAGAACTTACCTATGTTTTTGCATTTTATGTCTGTATGTGATTTTTATACAAAAAAATAATTAAAGGACGTGGCATATTTTCGGTTGAACATAGTAGTTATTCGTTCTGTTGGTAAGATGCACTTTTGTAAATAAATTTTTGTACTCATTATAAATATATTTTCATTATTTTTCTGCATCGTAAGTTAACATTTTAATTTCAATAACTAAAACTCATTAACTTTTTAAATGATATTATGGAAAAATCAAAAATCTTTTGATGAGCATACTATGAATTTTATTAATTTTTTTTCGGTCATTACAAACAGTAAATATAGTTATTACCGACATTATAATTAACATCATTTTATACAATTGAATTCTCACTCAAGTTTTTGTATATTGATCTCTTCCTCATTTCCGATAAAAGTATATAATATACTTTTCATCTTTCGTCCATTTTTCATTATTAATTCATGATTTATTCAACTAACTCTTTTTCATTCCTATAAATAAATACTCACACATACATACAATCGTATTGGTTCATAATAAAGATTTACACTTCACCTCAATATAGTATTAGTTTATAATATTTTTTGGTTCTTAGAAATGAGGTTTTTCGGAATTCAACGCTAAATATTTCATAATCACACAAAATAAAACAACTAACCCGTTCTTTGAATTATAACAGTATAAAAATTTTGTATTTATAGGCTATATCAAGTCAGCCGTGATAGTCAAAAAAAATCATAAGGGTAAAAAAACATTCTCTTCTTTTCTTGTTTTTCGATCTTTAATATGCTCTCAAATGATTTCTATTGTTTTAACCATCACCAAACTTTATCAAAAGTTGTATTTTGATGTATCGATAAACATATTACAATATTGGCCCAATCGATGGAGACAAATACATTTATTTTTTTATCTTTATGCTATTTTCACTTTTAAATAGGGCAAACGCTTATGAATATGATGTTCGATAACAAATATGATTATCTCATTAAATTACATTAAAAATCATTTTTCAACAATTTTTTCATACTTACCCTAGAAAATCAGAGTAAAATTTGAAAAATCAAATTCTAACTTTGAGATCCTGTAGATCCGCGAGGGATGGACCTAGAGATCTGATATTTTCAGGAATTTAATTTTTCAATTTACTCATCAAGAGTATACATACTTTGATTCAATGTCATTTTTTGACTATCACGGTTGACGTAATATAGCCTATGTATACTCCGCAATAAAATTATCGCAACAACAATTGTGATTGAAATTTTGTTAATTTCCAAATGATTCTATCTTCGTTAATTTAGATAGTATCGAGACGAATTTTTTTTTAGTTTTCTTGGAAATTTTTTCTAGTTCATAACTATATACAGTTAATTCTCCACAAATCTGTTTTTAACGTTTCCACGTGCCATCTTAAACTAGCGCAAAGAAACAAAAAATGAGTTGGTCATTCGTTCAATATGGTTGTATTATTACTGATTGCACAAAAAAATTTTTTAGTGCCAGTTACGTTTGCCATCGAAATATGTGTGCAAAACGTCACCTCCGTAAGATATCTTGATCTCAAAATCAAATCTCTTTTCATATGCTATGCATATCTTCATAAGCACCTGAGCTTATTATAAATATCATACCACGTTCAATACACCCGAAGTAAATTTTAAGTATATCATAGGGCCCTAAAAAATGTTCTAAAAAAAATTCACGTGTTTTCATAAAACTGCGACTTTCATGAACATGGAAATCTCGAGCTAGGATCATTCTTTTTAATCGCTCCGTCAAAAGGCTGGTTTTTTATAATCGACTTTTGGGTTGCACGCAAAATTTTGTTCATTTATTTTTCAAACGTAGTTGATTAAAGTAGCTATTTGTAACCTCCGTGGATGTCTCCGCCGTAACAAAAAAAAACAGTCGATTTTTAGCATAAAACTGGACTTATATTTCGAACAACGAAATCTCAAGATCTCATCTCAAGAATGAGTACATCCACTTTATCGTTTGAAACGAGATAAGCTGATTTTTTTTCATTTTTAATATTCAAATAAGCAGTTTTGCGGAGAATAAACCATATATTTTGAATAGGTTTAAGTCAATTTCGAGTTTTCAGTCGCTCTTTAGCTTAACACCCAAAATTACTTGACCTAGAAAGAATTTTCTACAAAACTAAAAAAAATTCATCTCGATTTGAGCTAAATTGACGAAGACAGAAGCATTTTAAAATTGTTGTTACAGAATGGATTTTTTCAAATTAATTTAATACAAAGTTGCAAAGAGATTATCGATACAAAAAAATAATTAAATCACAGAATAGAAAGCGGCATTTTGGCTCTCCCGATACCTTTAAGGAATGTTTTAAGGATATTTAACATTAGATCTTTGTGGCCGGATATAATGGTTAAATTAAAAGTATAATCATACATGCGATTTTCAAGAGCTCTGTTTTTCTAAAAGTAAAAAAAACTACACGAATTTTAGTGAACTAAATTTTTTATGATTTCATTGACATAGCTTCTACAATTGATTATGGACTCAAGTGCGTTCATCTATTTATTTTATTTAAAAATTACTCAAATTTATGAAGATGTGATAGTTAAAACTATTCATATAGTTTATCAAAGAGTTCATTTTTACGATTTAGTTTTCAATTAATACATGCAAATTGTAAAAATCTCCACAGTTTAAGTTTTGCTGTTTAATTTTTTGCATCCAAAGCGTTCCAATTACCAGAATACTCCCCTTGTATCACGCCGGATATTTTATACAGATAATTTAGTTTGTTTTTCTCCTTTTTTGCTTTTTTGATGAATGATAACAGCTCTTCGTTGAAAATTTAATGAGGCTTCATTTTATAAAAAAATTAATTATAACCATGAATCAGAATTCATCTGATTTTATGCCAAGAAGAAGAAAAACATTTTTCTAATCACGAGCATATGAGTAAATTGAATACAACTGTGATCTTAATTATTAAAATTGCAATAAATAATTTCTCGGCAGTCAGAATTTCAGTAGTTTGCATCGCGTTCAACATGAAATTTGTTTTCCCAATCTGCAAAAGATACGAAACAAATTAAAATACGAAAAACGGAGTTAGTATCAAACTCACGCACATGCAAGTAAGCATAAATAAAGTATGAGACATACATAGTTTTAAGGAAGGATAAAATGTACGTGATCAACGATAACTTTTTCAAACGAAATTCTAATCACGTTTTGGAGGAAATAAAAAAAAGTAAAAAATTACGGCACGTTTGAGAGATATATAATATACCCAGATTTATATGATCTTTGTAAAAATAGGTAAAAACTGAAAAACATGGTAACATATTTAGTTTTTATCCAGGCATCCAATCAGAAATTGTATTATTTACATTAAGCCTTAAGGCAAACTCGCTCATATTATACTTTTACATGTTATACGTATTTATATGCGTGCGTTGATGTGTGTATACTGTATACATAATTTCGGTCTCTCCATCTTCGTTTACTTTTGCGCGCCTAACACAGTCATCTCGCTGAGTTTACTTAGTAAACTCCTGCTTACATACGCACTCACGCATTATTTGTGTATATATTTACAGTAATATTTATAATCTTGACGCACGCACATTTTGCGAGCGCATGACACTTGTTAATGTTCAGACGCATCCTCGCTGAATCTCCGATCGTTGAAGCTTTGGTGTTTTTGCTTTATTTACGATACGAAGGTAATAACGAAAGAACCTAGTGCCTCCGGTAACAGTCAAACTGCTGCACTAAAAATATTTACATAATACATACGTATTTGTATCTATAACGATTGTGTTTTACGTGGAAGATCGTGTCAATGAAAATTTTAGCAAAAAATATTTTTGTTATTCGCGCTGTTAGTGGCACGAATAAGTGGTCAATGATCTTGGGTTCTTCATAAGCCGAACACTTTTCCATGTATACATAATGCCAAGGGCGACTCACATTCGCATTTTTTACGCAACATACATGAATGTATTCTATAAATACAATTATTCGACGAATATGCTCGTAGGAAAATTACCTACGCAGCTCTGTACATGTCGTTTACGTCTTGGCGTGTGTCGCCGTGTCGCATGTATAATACGAATACATTTCATCAATTTATATACTCGTATTTATGAGCTACACTTGACTGCATACAATTTTGAGATACTCTGTCTATACCAAGTTCAGTACATGGCACGCTTACGCACATGAGACGCATCATTATTGCCCTATTGTGCGTTTCGGTGTGTGTCGATTATTCTGTTAGTTACAATCACTTTGTAACAAGCATGTTCCATTGTACATGTCCTCGTAATCGATACCCATTTAGTGCATGTAACAAAAAACTTGGATACACAAATACGCGCTTATATACGTGTAGATGTGGTCAGGGAGAGAGCAGTTTGCGGCCGTACGTTTATATGTGTTTATGTACGTGTATAATGCATGAATACATTGAAAACTTGTCTTGGACTTCAGTGACTCAGTACTGTACACTGCTCGTCGATTCCTTGTGGTCACCTTAGCAATGAGATGAGCGTCAAAACGATTGTCAAGAGAAACGTCGACCTTAGGCCTTCGCTCGCCCCATGCTGCATCGCCGCTGGGTTCTCACCTGCGAACAAAATCAATAATTTAAATTAAGTTTATTCAGACGGCATTATTGGCATTATTATAGGCTGTCTAACAACTACTAATGTATGGGTTAATATTCAAAATCGGTGCACTGTCATTCAACGTAAAAAATATATGTATGCAAGTAACTTGAGTGGCAGCTCGTCAAGTTCATAATTCGTGAATTCCTGACCCAACAGCGCTCTACTGACTGCTCTTACATATAGCATGATGCACGAATGTGATCCTTTCGACGTATATGTGACAGAGCGCACTGTTCATTCGTATCTTTCTACGGAACTCTCGGCAACCGCTCACTTACAGACACCGAGCGTATAACTATCGATTAAACGTTTTACTGAGAGAGAGAGAGAGCTGGGGAATATCATCTGCGTATATAGATATATGGGCTAGCAGGTCAACGCAGCAAGTAGTTCCTATATATGTCCCACAGTGCGGTCAGCAGCAGAAGCAGAGAGGCTTAAATTTAAACGGTTATAAGCGTTCAACTGCAACCGACGACGACGACCATTATTTTCTGAGCAAAGGTTACAGAGAATGACGCTTTCTGGCTAGTGTAGATACCGATGAGGTGTCGAGCCCTATTACTCCTTTTTTCCTTCCTCCGTCCTTGCTCGTGTGCGAGAAATTACGTTTTTTTATTTGTTATTAAGTTCACACTTCACAAAGAGTCCAACGAATTTCTTTTCTGCAAATTTCATTCGAATCTTCGGTACCGTCTATCACCTTTTTTGAGAGGTCTAAAGTTGAATTTTTTCGAATTTTCACGAAATTACACATTTATCGCAAGTATTAAAATAATTCCTACCTCGGTATAAGGCGACTTCAACGAATAAGTGCAAAAAGCTTTTTTGTTGGAAATTTTCAAAGTTTTTAGAAAAAATATATTCTAAAGTGATCTGAGCACTCGAGAGGCTTGTAAAATAGAAACTCAAAATCTAATTAAGCTCGATCTGGAGTTTCATTTCCAGAAATATTTAAAAAGTTTCCTCAATATGCCAACTACTATAATGTAAATTTAATTTTTGCTATAATAGTTTGATCATTATTACACCAATTAAGTTACGTAATTGAGTGTCGAAAAAGGCCCAAATGCGTAAAATCGACTAAAACAGACATTTTTTAAAAATATTTGGACAGTTTCCGACAAGAAGGTTTTCTAGCACTCTAAAATCGGGGTTTTTGCGTAAATTGAGAAAAGTGTATTTGTTTATTTAAAAAAAAACAGCTCAGCACAATCATCTATGAAAAAAATTTCTATGCATTGTAAGGTAAGTTTTTGTCTCATCTTTCCAATGCCATATTTAGATTTTAAAACGATCTTAATTTTGCCGAGATACAGCTACTTTTGTTAGATGCATTTTTGTAGCTGTAAATTCAGTAAATCGGTTTCGAGTTCTCGATAATCATGTTTTTGCTGACTCTTTACAACGTTCTGAGAAATCTATAGGAGCTACTGGAACGAACTTGGTAATGGGGACATTTATTAATGTATCATTTACTTAACTAGAACTCCAAAATATGGCAAGAACTCAATAAAATTCGTGTACTCGAAAAAAACTCGATTCGAACGAATTCGTTCGAATCAAGTTTTTTCGAGTTTCGCGCACCCCTAATCGGTTATACAAATATTTAGTCAAGCTATTGTCAATGCATTCAGGCTCACTGTGCATCATCTGTTTAAGACTTGGCTGCAAACCCAACAATTTTATGCTAAGAACCGAGCTTCCGATTTATCACGAGACTACATCACAAATTCTGTGTCAGGCGAATACCGCATAAGGTACTGCTTAGCCTAGAGACGTTTATGTTTATTAAAACAATTAAAATAGACTGTATATAAAACGCTTTCAATTGTTAATTATACACAAAGCACGATGTAATCAATGGATACATTGCATGAAATCTCGGGAGCATGAGAAGAAGCTTTTTACAAATTTTTTAGTTAAGAATTGACGGAGATAGCTTTTAACCGAGAGTATACCGTTACGACTTGCACCAAAATTTCTTCACGTCCGTCTTGGACATGAGTGTGGCGAGCTAAGTCATCAAAGAAAGAGTTCCTATCCCTTCTTCTTCTCTGGTCTCTAGTACACGGTACGGTGTGTAATCCGTTTTAGAAGCTGCCGAACGAACAAGTTTCAAGCCGAGCATTGCGCGAGCCGTGCATAAAGAGGGAGAGGCGTCGTCGCGTTGCCATGCTACCTAGCGCACGGCGAAACTTTTTCCTCAGACATACACACAGGTTGTATTTTTTCACTCCTTTCTCCTGTCGTACGCACACTTGCTAGCTTAGAATTTTTTATTTTTTAACTTTTTCGTAAATTCCTTTTTTCTTATACACAAAGATTCTAAGTGTCTTTTCGCACACGCGCTTTTGTTTTTGCAAACAATTACGTGAAACTTTTTTTGCCGTTGAATGGGTATAAGAATTGTCACACGGATGTAAAGCGCGATTCGATCTCTTCGGGAACTTATGTACAGGCAAAAACTTGAAGAAAATGTTCTAAGTAACAAAAGAATGTAATATCTTCGTTGAAAATAAAAAAAGCTTGAGATTTCAATACATTTTCAGTACAGCAAACAGTTAACAGTTTTAATTCTCTAGTTTCAGAATAAATAAATAAATAAATAAATAAATAAATAAATAAAATTCCACTGCTTACAATTTCCCAAATATTCAAAAAATTAAATTTATTATTTACTATTTATATTTTAGTAGTATTTAGTAAATTTATAATTTACTATTTATTATTTACATTGCAATCACATTTTTTCAACTATACATCTATGTCATTGCGTAAATCTTGGTATTTTAAATTCAACATTAAAAAGAAATCAGTTTTATAACTATCAAAGTAAGAGTCACGATAAATATAAAAATGACACCGATTGCTTAAAATGAATTTCTCTTAAATATTTAAATTAAGTAAATAATAATCGATTGACACTTCATTGAAGAGAACTTGAGAACTCGTTCTTCAGAACAGTACAATCTAATAACGTTTAATGACTTTATAATTACTAGTATTTTTGTCAATAAACTGTGTACGCTACGCAACAATAAAAAAAATATCCATTGGGGTAACTTGAAAAGCTATTAAATCGTTTTATTTTTGTTTATATAGACAAGTTCGTACGTTTTCTCGCTTTTATGTTCACTTGATCTTGATTCGCCTGCTGCACTTTTTGTGTTCGCAAACGATTTACATTTGATTATGGACCACAAATGCTGGTGTTTGTATGTGTATGGGAGCTTTTTTATCAGAACAAGCGAGCTTTCGTAAACGAGCTAATTACTGTTCAGTGTCCGTTTAGCGCGTTGTTTATTTCCCATCTCACTCGTTCTGTCTGTCTCTTATTTGAAACTACAACAGGATTGCATACAAAGTATAGCATTCAAGCATAAATTGCAAGAGAATAGAGATGTTACTACGTAGAGAGAATTGAGGCCGATCACTTGCAGATTGATGGACATCTGTAGCGTTCGAAATTTGTTTTCGTGGCTTGACCTCGCACGGTCGAGTTTTTTTATTTCTCGTAAAAGCCTTTCCCGAACTTCGCTAATTCATCGAGGCCAGAAAATTTTGCTACCAGACAAAAGTATTTTACAATTCGAGCTTTTCCAAGTTGAATCTCACGCGCAAATTAATTATGAAGTTATTTTCAAGGTTTTAAGTGCTGGCAGGCTCCACACATATTCGTAACAAGTGCGATAAGCAAACTTTGAAGTATTGTGTAGTTTGAAATATGAGTGTTATATGAAATACGTACGTTAGTGGTTGCAGGAAGGCGCGCGATTAAACTGGCTAAAAGCCAATGGGTTTGGCCGATTTGTGCAATTAAGAATTGTAGAAAATACTCATCGATGCCGAGCTGCGGGTGTAATACGCGATTGGAGATTTTTCTACGACTCTACGAACGTTGATTAGGTAACCACTCAAGCGTAGACAGGAGCCATTCAAAATCTCGGATTCGCTGAGCACGTTGAGCATAGTTGGTTTGCCAAATACTTTTATTGTGTGGACACAAGTTATGCACATAGTTTTACGCACATACGTTTGTAGACGAGTATTTAGACCCTTTATGATTATCATACGAACTAGCGATTGATTTTTTCTTTTTAAGGGGGGGGGGGGGATAGTATTTTTCGCAAAAATTTTCGATACTTTTTTTAATATCTTATTCGATTCTATATACATTCAAGAGTATTCAGTTAAAATTTTAAGCCAATCGGAGCAAAATTAACCAAGATATTGCCATTTTAACGCACGTGCAATAAGGAAGAAGGACTGGACCTCAAAATCTTTAAACGCGTTTCCTGAACAATAGCATTTTCAAAGACGGTGTACATCATATCTCAAAAACTGATTGACCGATCTTTTTGAAATTTTACACCGATATTTATTAACTATTTTACAAGGTAGTGACGTTGAGATATTTTCATTTTTGGGAAAATTTTCATTTTTTTCAACAATTTTCCGAAAAAAAAGTGCACTTTTTCGATTTTTTCCCATTTTTTCAACTTCAAAATCACGCCAAATTTTCAAAAATGAAAATATTTTAAAAAACTCGACGTCAGTACCTTCAGAATCCTCTAAACTAATAAAAAAATGTCATTCGGCTTGTTTCTGATGATTCTGCGAGGAGTTATCGTGTACACCGCATTTTTCGACGTGTTTTCTTCAAACCGATGCCCAAGGCTCATTTTTCAATATTTTTCAACAAAAATTTAGCTGAGTACTCTTGAAGTGATGCTTTTTAGTGTACAAATCGATATTACTACATTTTCATTACTAGATTTCAAAAAATTAATCTCAAAAATGAGCAAAAATAACTAAAAATTAACTATACCCCCCCCTTAAA